GCTGCTAACAACTTTTCAACCGTAATATTTTCGTGAAAATGGTTTGACCATTGCGTCACCGCAGACCATCTCCATATTTTACATTTTATTTTAATGCTATCAATAATACCCACATGGCGACCATGTAAAATTTTGAGATGGACGTGATCTATTGTTACACAATTTTGGATCTTCGAAAAACGTGTAAGTTTTGTTGAGGTAATTTTTGTAGACTGCAAAATAAGGATTTGGCGCGAAATCTGTATTTAGCTTTCCGTTTGATGACGATAACTAATAATAACTGGGAGCTAGGCATGTGAAATTTTATGTGCAGGCTGATATAAAAAATACAGACCACTAATTATGCCTTGAATGAGACATTCTTTTGTGTTAACAATGGATCTTAGAAAGAATGGGATGGGGTGGTATGGACTGGATTGATCTGGCTCAGGATAGGGACCAGTGAATGGCTCTTGTAAACACGTTAATGAACATTAAGGTTCCATAAAATGCTTAGAAATTATTGAGTAGCTGAGCAACTGGAGGCTTCTCAAGAAGAACTCAGCTCCATGGAGTTAGTTAGTTAACAAGTTGAAACCGGCGTAACATGTGCCGTTGAAGCAGAACTCAAAGGTTAACAATTAAATATCAACGTATTTTATTTTATTTTATTATTAATATATCTAATTTCATTTGATGCATTCGTTTACATGGCTCAGAAAAATGGGGTCACAGCTTCTCGTCCAGTCGTTGCTTTTCTTCGGCCATAGAACACTGATTTAACTGGTATTCAAGCCATTTCATTGCTTGGTATCACCTGCATATGATCGACATACGTCTCTCAAGAGCGTCATTTTTGACGATGAATTGGGTATAAGCAACCGTACACGAAAACTGCAGCGAATAAAAAGTTTAGCGCTTAAAATTCAAATGCGTCATTTAAGCGTTCTCTTCAAATCAGTACTAAATCAATTACGCCGAATGCCAATTCTCGTGACAAGATCACACCACATATTAATACAACATTCTTAACATGAATCATGCTAATTGTTAATGTTGCCCTGTCATTATGTGTCTCCATGATAAAACTACAAGAGGATTCGTGGTGTCCACTGTTGTGCCTCATGTCACAAAACGTGTTTCCTACCAACTGTTCGGTGACATAATACATCCGACTCCATCAAAAATATCACAAACTGTCAACCATGAGCGTAAGAGAATTTCCTTCTAAGGGTCAAGTGAATATGTGAACCCTTATTTCCGTTACAATGGCAAACCATCGGCTTATGTCAAATCAAAGTTCCATAGTGCGAATTGGTTAACCGCCAATAAACAACTTGTGTTCCTAATTAGTGGTAATTGTGTTGTCAACGGATCACTATGGGTCAGATCACAATGACAGTATTGTGACGCGTTTGTTTCTTCCTTCGTCTATTGATACCGTGCCAGCTTCACGGATTATAAAGTAAGTAAGTAAAGGTATCCTTGTAACAGGCTGTGGTGGCCCATAGGGTTGTGAGACGTTGCGGCTCTCACATTTTCTAGACAATCGACTCTCAGATGGCGGTAAGGTTGTCAGCCGGCCGGCCGCCCTTTACCCCCAGGAGTATTCCATGTACTCATTTCTGTTAGAGGCTGAGTCGACCCCAGAGCCATAGTATGGCTGGAAGGATTAGGTAAATTAAAAAAATCCACCTCATCGGGATTCGATCCCGCGACCTTCCGGCTTGTAGCACAGTGCCTCAACCAACTACGGTACAGCGTGACCCTTCCATGGATTATACAGAACTGAATTATGGGTAGATTATGAGCGTAGATTCTAAAGGGTTCTGGCGATGGTGTATAAGAGTGGTTCTCAACTCTCGTCAGACCGCGGCCCGGTAAATTCTTTTTTCTACAAGACGAGCGCCCGGCGGTTGAGAAACTCTGGAGTATGTCACTCGGAATTACTGAGTTTCTGGACTCTGTCCATCTTCCGTATTCTAAAAACTGTAGGACACGACGTTTCGGAAACTGGATCTGTTTCTACCCTAAAGTGAGGGGGGAGACAAATGCTGGTACCCTGTTGGGTCCCTTAGAAAGAGCTAACCTCAGTCACTGGATGTTCTTCGAATTTCGGCTGGAGAGAGGTAATAAATAGTGTCTGTGATATTTCTCGTGATTTTTGTCACCTCTCACACCTCCATGCGATTTCTGGGTTGCATCTTGAAGGAGAACACTATGCTTCCCCGCACAGTTCTACCGTCCCACATTCATATCCGTTTTATTGCATCTCAATCTAAGCTACATAAGCTTGTTACCTGATATAGCATCATTAAATGCGCTAACAAGAACCATCGGCAGAAAAGAATGAATATAACCCTCAAATTGTTATTCTGTCCAACAATAAAATGAGGGAATAACTTTACAAAAAAAAAACAAAAAAAAAACAGACCACTTTCGACTTGCCCTAACACAAGATACAGTATCATTTCCAGCAAATGCTAGTACCTACACAATGGAACTGCAGAACCCCCTTCTAAACAACGCTGAAACATTCGGTTTGAGCCTCCAAGAAAACCGATCTCTTACCTGATACTTACAAGTATAGGTTTAAAAATGTTTAGAAAAATAGTAGTTTAATTTGAGTACTAGAGGAACCCCATTAATTCATTTGTTTGTAATATGGGAGGTTAACAGCCAGGTGGTATAGCAGTATTATCGCGCAGAAGAGTGTGTGTCGGATACGATAAAAAATAAAAATAACTCATATTTATAGACCTCTGACGGAATTACAAATCATTTAAAGTACTATGGGTTTATTCTTTAAAATGTTCTCTCAAGAGGGCACGTGTCAATAAATGGGATTCTTTTGAATAAAAATATTTCAAGTTTTCGCAGGAAACTGATTACCTCTCAGGCAATATGAGAAGATATGAATCCGATGAAGTTACCACGACCAAACCATTTGTTTTCATCCGTCTAATACAACTTGTCAGAAACATAAAGGTCTTTATATACTTGTTCCGAAATGTTTTAAAAGTATTTGTTCATCTTACGGGGCGTGTCACTTAAATGAAATCATTGATTACATATTTATAAGATAAATTTTACGCCATACAATACAAGCGGATCTTAAAGATTATTATTATCTAATCTTACTATTGCCTGTCCTTTAATGGTTTCTGTCAATGCATGTTTACACTATTTTGTTCTAGTATGTGAAAGAAAATGCAATTGGTTAATTGATTAAAATTATTCCATGTGCTGCAAGTTGACGCATCGCCCTTTCTTTCTCCTTCCTGGGATAAGCAGAGTCATTTGCAACAAGCGGAATATATTACACCCATTTTATGATCGGAAAGTTGTTGAGTTTTAAATAGAGTCTTAGACCAGATATTGTTCTGTCTTCATGATACATTCTTGGTTATAATTATAATATTATAATAATACCCTGCGTATTATTGTTCTGTGTTGAGCAGGATTTTATGAATCCTACCACTATGTTCACGGCTTGTTTGTCCCCAAAGGGACACATAGGGCCCCCCGTTGTTCTTTCGTTGTAGTTCATGGATAGAATTCGCTGACAAATAAATGTAGTACCGGGTAATAATTAACTAACTCAGTGGTGAGGAGTCCTTGTTCCAAAGCCAGTAGTCGCCCGACCGGTCAAGAAATTCACTGCCTTTTATAGAATCCGACCGTCCATAAATGTATTCACAACAACTTGCCACTGGTCTATATCCTAAGCTAGATGCCTCCCACCACATTTTTCCATTCTATTTCTTTAAGATACGCTTTAATATTACCATCTGTCTACGATTTAAGCTCATAACCGACCTCAGCCCTTAAGGTATTCCAGCCGAAATTCACGCATTCTCTTATGTTTCATGTTTCAACTATACCTAGTTCCAAGATCAAGAAGGGTGGAACTATACCTCCACTCCCCAATACGTCTGCATGGCGTGGTGCTTAATTAATTAAGAGCAGGGACAACTTTATTTACTTTCACTTATTTAAATTATAATAACTCAATAACAGTGTCTGTTTGGAGGGGAGTTTAGAGGTCAAAGTCTCCCCACCACACACACACACATATACTCAAAGAATTACCCAATTTGACATGAAAATACCGAACTCCGTGGTTATTGTTGGGACGCTCTCAGTAGTTATACTATTACAGTGATGGTTACTGATATGCAAAGTGTCTGAAAAGCAGCAGTGACCTGATCGGGGTATTATTCTGGCATTTTCCTAAAAGGACTGAGGAAAACCACGAAAAATGTCAGTTTGGACAGTCGGTGTCCTGGCCGAGATTCGAACCGAGCACATCCCGAATATATGTCTAGAGCATTATATCTAAATGAACCTGTTCGGCGTCGCAATGCTGTCATCACTATTGCTTCATACTCGGAAAGTGCCAAGTTCGAATGCAACGCTTTGGCTAGATATCCTTACCGATGGTTCTCGTGGTTTCTCTCAGTCCTTCACGGAAAAAATCATAATAATGCTTTAAATTAGACATGATTTGTTTCTTACTACATTATTTCCCGTTATCTTATCATCTGCAACTATAAACATATGCAATTTAGAAAGCACCGTTAAATAAACTAAGGAATACAAAAGGTTATTTTAATAGCAAATTTTGTTAATCCGACTTATCATTTAGATGATAAACGATCTAACATTTATTTCAAGAGCTTAATTAATTTATGACTCTATAGAAATAAATTCATATATATATATATACATATATGTGTGTGTGTGTGTGTGTGTAAACATTCTTTTTACAAACATAGTTTTTATAAAATAATTTGAACTACCGAAACCAGGATACAGCGCTTATGGTAGGAGTTGTCAGCATGCGTTCAACGCATGTCATAACCTTACTCACATACCAACACAGTTTCTATAACCTATAACCCTGTACGTGTCGCTCAGTTTTGACTATAATCTCAAAACATGCACGTAACACCTCGCTCCTGTAATCAGGTTCTAACCCCATGACCTTTAAACACCTCCAAATGAGTGACAGCACTGACCTGACAGTTTGGTGGCCAGTTATCTTGGTTGAACTTGACCTCCGGTAAACGAACCCGGAGGAAATGCGGTACGGAGATAAAGTCGTGTGTATTTCCCACTTCTATCCGGAGAGATGTTCCTCCTTTCGGCACGTCCGAGGATCCCGCCGTGCCTTACCCACAAGGACGAATCAAGGTCGCCCCCACTAGCACACGACAGACCTGCCGCTAAGCGGGAGAATGCAAAGACGAAATAATCGTTTTCAGTTCCGAACATACTTACACTTTTAAGTTATCATGGCTTAATCTACTCGAGCATGCCACACTCTATTACAATTGTAACTAATCCGGCAAACTGCGTCGGCAGATGTGTGTGGCAGTCTGATTAATATATGTATGGAGGAGAGGTGGGTGTAACTAGCAGACGACAGAGTTGCGAGACGTTACTGTCAGCGCCACGGAGAAATGGAGAACTAAGTAAAGTCTCCCTGGAACATATCAAACACTGATTTCAATACTGTTGGATAGTCATATTATTTGGCTAAATGAAGACGCCTTAAAGTCATTAATAAAACTAGGTCGCTGGCAAGAGAACTGTGAAGTTCGACGCCGACAGCAATAAAGCCTATCATTGGAGACAATCCGAACTAACCAACCTCATAGGATAGGTAAAAATGCTTCTTAAACAGCTAATAGCCGCCCAGCTTGTAAAGACACTCGCAGCACTGTGTTGAAAAATGAGGCTCATTAGCGATCCATATGAACCGGCAATTAGTCCTCATTATGAGCCAATGAATCAACTTGTCATCTTATTGTCTATGGCTAGGTTTTGCTACGGGTTTATTCACTTTATGTTTTAAAACTATGAGGACATTCTGAAGAGTGCAAATTATGAAATTTCATATTATGAAACTTTATCTAGCCTTCTGTTATTTCTTATATTTTAAGTTCATATATTCTTCTTAGCACTTTGTTCTCATATGTATAGTCTCAAGTATTCTTGTAAGATGAAATACCAATTTCTACAGGCATATAAAACAACAGATAATTTTAATTCTTATATTACTAGATTGGAGTCGTGAAGAAAAACGATTTTCCACTGAATGACAACAAGCATTTCCCCAATTTAACATGCGTTTAAATTCTTGGATAGGATCGTGAATAATCCACACAACATATTTCCCTGAAACACTTTCTCCCCATAATTACTGATACTTTTGTTTCCTTATATTGATTTTAAGATACAATTTCTTTTTGTCAACTCTATAAAATACGCAGTAAACATTGCCTATTAACGTTCTCCGGTAGCTTATAATTAAATGTTGTTGTTTGAAGCATGAGAATTCCCATTAGCTGCTATTATGTAAGTTGTGGTTGCGAGTTAAAATTCTTTTCCGGGAACTAGTGTTTATAGACTTTCCAATATGTTGTTCTACGCTGTCTTACAATATCATAATCCTTGCAATGGGCATATTTCTTATCAAACAAGTTCTATTGGGAGTCTAAAACATTCAAAACGATTTCCTAATTTTGATATGCAACAGACACCTAATCCGTGAAGAGCAAATTCGTTACATGTCACTTTTATATGACGGAGAATGGATTTCGATGCTCTAAATTTCGATGTTATTTCATTTAATATTATGCGTAAATGATAGCGCTGGAAACATAATCAGGATACTGCACACTTCACACGTAACTGGAGTTTATGTTCATATATGAGTATGGAAACAGATATTTGCAAACACTCGCTATTTTGCCCTACGCTAGCTTCATATTTGGTCACGTCGCTGCTTGCCTTTTAACACCTGCATCTGAATTGTTTGCAGCTGAAATATCGCTTCAAGGATTGATTAAAATCGCAATCCTTATGTTTGATTCGTTTGGCTTAACTCCCTGCAAAGGTTGTGACATACATTGAATCATTCGCCATTTTGTGTCTGACTACATTGCCCGGTAGCTATGTAGCAAATCGTGATAAGTAAAATTATGGCAGCTACAAGATTAATAGAATGTTGTTCTATACGTATTATGTTACTCAAACACGTTATGTGTAAAGTGAAAAGTTATTCATAATTCCTTACAAAATTATGGCTGAAATGCATGTAACACTTAAATAATGTTACATTTAAGAAGACTACCAGGTATCCTTTACCAACGGCGGTATGTGACAGCAACTTTAATAATAATAATACTAACAACCATATACTACCTCATACATTGGGGAATTATGTGCACTAACCTGGAAACCTGGCAACACGTCAGTCATCTAGTAAGTATTGTCTTCCATTGCATTATTCAAATTAAAATTTCCTATTACTAGTGGTATAAGCCCCCCCCTCTCTCCCCAGCCTATTTCATGAAATTCTTGGACGGTTGTTTGTCTCACACTCCCTCAGTGTTTGGTTAGGTTAGGTTACAGTAGATCAAGTCAGGTTAGCTTAATTTAGGGGCACCTAAGTTTGAGTTCCAGTAGGGTCAAGGATTTCTCTTCTCCACATTGTCCATACAATCTCTGTGGCCCACCCAGCCTCCTATTCAATGGGTACCAGCGACTCTTTCCCCGGGAGTAAGGCGGCAGGGGCATGTAGCTGACCACTCACCTCCAGCTAGTGCTGAGGTCAAGAAAATGTGAATCTCTACATCCACTCCCCATACACCTTCATGGAATAATGCTTCATTAAGCACAGGGACAACTTTTATTTGAATCATGTATCCTTGTTGCAGTGCCGTCTCCATAGGAGGGGTGAAGCTATTGGAAGTCTCTGCAAACCACTGTGTGTAGACAAACAAATCCATTCACTGACTTGTCATGCATTCCATGCAGGCAAGGAAGCTGTCTTCTCTGCAGAATGGGAAGGCATTCGAATGGTATTCAAAGCCTCAAGAAAATCCAGTGGTGAAAACTTTGACCCTGTTTACTGGCTTGACAGTGATGGGGCCAAACACTATCCAACAGAGGATGAGTTTGACACGATGGTTCGTAATGTTGTGATATCAAAATTGAACCTTACCATTTCCAATGATCAGCTGAATAGATTAAGCCGACTTGGATTCTCAAAAGCAAAGGAGAAATCAGTGACACGACAGATTGAAATGCAGAATCTATGGTTTCTTCTTCAAGATAATGAATATTTGTGCTCCATTTTATATGCAGACAGAGATATCTTCCCACAGCTGCTGGGTACTTGTGGTCCATTTTTTGGTGTTGAGTATGTGGACCCTGTAGAGATGTCTTCTGGTGTGATGTCAATGGGAGATGGCCATGAGGAATGGGCCACGAGGCTCAAGCTTGCGGTTCTTATGATGGACCTGCTGAATGAGTTGGAGACAAACCTTGCTGAGCCATTCCATTTATGTGACATAAAAATGAGCCACTTTGGCCTCACAAAGGGTGGACAACATTTGAAGTTTCTTGACCTTGATTCCGTCTTACCACGAACAGTTGTTGGACGTTTGACTGCTGATGGTAGTCACTGTACACGGCATGAAGACTGTGACTTCTTTGACTGTCGTTCTAAGTGCAGTGCTGTTACTTCTCGTTGTGATTTGCCAGTCACAAACAACAATTTCCAGGTAAGAGATGGTCGTCTCTTAAAACAGCTTTCTAGAAATGAGACTTAATAAGTCTCATGTATAGATCATCTGATTCTGAATCATTCTTATCTTCAGTATTTTGTAGATAGTCATTAATCCTGGATGGATTACACAGACATATGATACCAACCAGAGCAGCTAAAATTGTTTTACTTGGGATTTTCCCAATTTAACAAGCTCTCTGCTGTCCTACTCCACAACTCCTGATTGTTCTAGTGCCCTTAGTTTGAATTCCATCCTTCCATTGATCTCTGTGGTATTTGTCACCCCCTTCCACACTTCCCACCTAAAATTACAAGTTCTTGATATATGTTGACTTATGAATGAGCCCCAGCACTTGTTCCAGGTCTCGATGTTGGATGTTTAATACATTTTCATTATTTAGTATGAGTTGTGTTACAGATACTTTGAAAATGACTTGTCCTTAGAGAATTTTTAGTTGAGTGGATTGTGGTTCAATCAGGCACATTTTCTGTGCCTGATTCTATTTCTATATATTAACCCATATATGAACTAACAGATAATGGCAAAAATACATGTTCTTGAATTTTTTCAGAATGAGAAACCAGGATGTGGATCTGAATAATGAAATTGAAGTGTCTGGAAAGGAAGAAAAGAGAAGAAATGAAACAAATGTCATGGTCATAGTAATTTTTAAATTTCAAACGAAATTTGAAGAAAATAAGACCCATTTTGATAGTATTTTTCCTAATGAGATTTATTTCAGTCTCCCTTTGACCGCCTTTGTGGCCTAGTGGTCGTAATTCCTGGCTACAGGTCCAGAGGTCCTGGATTCGATTCCCAGCGCCACCAGATTTTCTGAGAAGTAGTGGGTCTGGAACAGGTTCCACTCAGCCTTGTGAGGATAATTGAGGAGCTACTTGAATGGAAAAGTAGCAGCTCCAGTCTAGAAAACCGAGGTTAATGGCCATGGGGATCCGTTTTGCTGATCACATGGCACCCTCTATCCCCTAAAGTTGGCACTAACTTCACCGACAAATGGCGGTTGCTCGATCAGTATAGTTCGCTTGCGGACTAAAGATCACGGAGTTTTTTTTTAGTCATTCTCCCTACATATGCTGCCCATATTTTCCTTCCTGATTTATTCACCATAACTACAATATTAGATGAATATAAATCATGATGCTTCTTATTATGTAATGTTGTCTGTGTTCCTCTTACTTCTCCCTTAGGTCAAAATATTCTCCTTGGCATGCTTTTCTCAGTTGCTCTCAGTTTCTGGTTGCCCTTAGAGTGAGAGCATGTAAAGCAAATTGGTAAATCTGTAACTCGCGTTTGTTTCTGCAGGTGGTATGCGAGAAGATCTTCCTGGGCTGGACTCTATCAGGGACAGTGATTGTGCCAGGACTACTCATGTCACAACACACACCATCATCCCTGGCAGCCCTGCTCCGCCTCTGTGCAAACCCTGACACAGATTTTAACAGTCCAAGGGCAGCTGTTCCTGAAGACATCAAACGTCGTCTTTATGCAACACTCACCGAGATGGAGCAGACCCTAGCAAATGATGTTTTTGTATGAAATCCTAGTCTAAGTACAAATTAATTATAAAATAGTTTATTGGTTTTTATATTAAGGTTCTTGTTAATTTTCGTGATGAATGTTTTAGTAGTTGGCTGAGGCACTATACTACAAGCCAGAAGGTCACAGGATCGAATTCCGATGAAGTCACTGGATTTTTTCAATTTACGTAATCATTCCAGCCACGCTATGGTCCTGGGGTTGACTCAGCCTCTAACAGAAACGAGTACCATGAATATTCTTTGGGGTAAAGAAAGGCCAGTGCGTAAGGTTGACAGCGTTACCGCCATCTGTGACCCGATTATCTAGGAAATGTGGGAACCTCAACGTCTCACAACCCTATGAGCCTCCAAGTCCTGTTACAGGGATACCTTTACTTTTACTTTATGTTTTATTTATGGACAGCCATAGGGAATTATCGTATTTGGAGCGAAAGCATGACATGACCCAATTGGACTCTGCCCCCCATTAAGCGAAAAAAATTATTTTCACAACTAACACTTTTTCCTATGACTTTTTTAAGACCACACTGTTAATTTTCAGGAACTTCCATTAAAATAATGAGCCAGAATTTGTGGTTTTGGACATATGCATGTTAGAAGCCTGCAGTTGATGGGACATGGGCGCTCTACTGACATTTGATTTGACAATTTAGAAAAGGCACTGAAAACCGAATCAAGATAATCCACTTGAAGTATTAACCAAATACACATTTCCTAAGCATTTCTGTCTTCTGTATACCTAACACAAACATAGCTTGTCATTGAAGATTGCTAGAGTGCTGCAGACATAACCCAACTCTCTCTCAATAATATGTTTAGTCTGTGGTCAGTGTTCAGCTTCATGCCCTGCTGCTTTACCACCGGTACCCATTGGATAGGAGGCTGGGTGGGTCCCAGAGCCAGCCTAGATGACGAGAAAAGAAAATTCTTGACCCTTCCGGCACTTGAACCCCAACCCCTCAGTCGTCCAGCCTGTAGCGAGTCACTGTCCTGGCTCACTAAAGCTCAAGTTGTCAGCTGCTGGCTTCTCAGTATGGAGGCCCAGGTTCCTTCCCAGGTGACTTCATGTTAGATGTGTGGTGCATGAAGTGGCACTGGAGCAGACTTTTCTCCAAGTTTCTCAAGTTTTCTTATGCCAATCATCTTTCCACTATTGCTCCATACTCATTTAACACAGCCTCCTGAGATATGCAGTAGCCCTGACCAGTGAGTCATATTCTTTAGTCTTTCAGTTTAGGAGTTTCATCTCTGACCCCACACTTGACTGCTTACAGAGTTACAGGTTACAGCGCCTTTCCAATTAATACTAAATTAAAATTATTTGTGGTGTACATCTCCACTGCAGTGTTTGGTACCAGTTTTAAGAAAATCTACAGGTATTTCCAATTCTCATCCAAGATCACCCTTTCTGCACCAGTTACTCACCAGATATATATCTGGCCCTGTGTAGATTGGTGTTTTGATAACTTTATGGACTTGTAATTAGAGAGTTTTTTCTTTTTGGTTTTCTTCACTCCCTCCAATGGTGTGAGCTTGGTATCTTGAAATAGGTCATGCCCATCTCTTTCAAATCCTTGCATATTCAACATCCATATACACTCTCCAATTGAATTTGATGCCATGTAATACCGGCAGTTCAAACAACTTTGTTAATTACTGTAAGAATAAACCAGTATCATATATATCATGTCACATGAATAATGACTGAAAAATGTACAAACTGAATCCGACTGAATGTATGTCATTTATTGCATTTATCAGCAGTGCCCTGATTTTAACAATGTAAATCCCCCCCCCTTTTTTTTTACTGAATCTCATATAATTCCAGCTTTAGGGGCATGAAGTAGTGTAGTTGGTTGAAGCAATATGCCACAAGCCAGAAGGTTGCGGGCTCGAGTCCTGATTAGGTGGATGTTTTTAATTTACCTAATCATTCCAGCTGCACTATGACCCTGGGGTCGACTCAGCCTCTAACAGAAATGAGTACCAGGAATCTTCTGGGGGGTAAAGGGAGGCCAGTGCATAAGGCTGACAAACTTACCGCCATCTGTGAGCCAATTGTCTAGAAAATGTGAGAGCCTCGACATCTAACAACCCTATGGGCCTTCAAGGCCTGTTACAGGTATAGCTTTACCTTTCATAATTCCAGCCTTGCATGAAGGCATTATGAAGTATCACTCAGAATGGTATAGAGTGTTAAGCAAGCTTTATCATTGATACTTTTATTCGCTCATGTTTTCATAATGGCAGCTAAACCCAATACCATATATATAGTATAAGCAGAATGTTATTTCTTAATCATGTTACTACCAAGTCTGGTGCTATAGTCTGTACAAGAATTGCTAGATTATTTTATTAAAGTTTAATCACACAGTATAGAACTCTGTGCCAAAGATAAGCTGAAAATCGTGAAAACACATATTGTCTATTGCACTACCATATTTTAACACTTTGTGGACTGGTGGCATATTTTTATGCCCAGCGCTTTTAAACGTGGTGGACCGGTGGCATGTTATTATGACTTTAGGACACGTTATGTTGAAACACACTATACCTTGCACTGGCGCCAGGCAGTCGCATGAGTGATGCGTGATAGACCTCTTGAATGTTTGCTTCATAGTCAGTAACATGACCCAACTGTTTTCCTTTCTCACTCCAAAAGAAAATGCCTTTGTTCATCTTCCAGCTGCATGCACCAGGCAGGAAGTTACCAGTGCAAAATGGATCAAGGTCGGAAGAGGTTGAGGTCCAAGCGTTTTCCCGGAGAACAAGAAATATCTGACTTGTTCTCCGATGAGCTATCTGACGTCCCTTGTGAGTCTGCTAGTGATAGCGACTCACAATCTGATAGTGAGTGTGGCAGGGGCGAACAAAAAATTATGGCCACAGACAGTGAAAGTAAAAGTGACAGTAGCTCTGACAAAAGTGCGGGTAGCAACATTGTGGGGAGAGCCACATGGGGAAAAGTAGACAAAACGCCTGCTTTGGGACAGTTTACTGGAAATCCAGGGGTGAAGCAAATTCCATCAGACCCAACACAAGTGTCTGAAGTAGCAGAACTGTTTTTCCACAATTCAAAATTCAAGCATGGTTAATGTTCAAAGGAGACATGGACAGGTAAAGAAGCCGGTTTGTATTTCCGAGTATAATATATTCATGAAGGGAGTTGATAGAGCCGATCAGTACGTGGCCTATTATTCTCTTCCTCGGTAAACAGTAAAGTGGACAAAGAAAGTTGCCTTGTGGCTTATAAATTGTGCCTTGGTTTTAAAAAATCTAAACCCTCATTCAAATTGAAATACAAGGCATTTCTGCTGAATGTGGCAAAAGCCTGGGCTACAGACCACACGGTGGCGGCAGAACCAGCAGCAGACACAGTCTTACTAAGAGCGGGGCCGTCTACTCCCACCCCATGCAGGCCTCATTTTGACCCCCCTGGGCGACCCTCGGGTGATATGCAGAAGCATACTCTTGCGAAAATTGTGAAGAGTGAACATTTCAAGGGGAAGCAGCCTTCTAGGCAATGCTGTGTTTGCGCAGTTCACAAGAAAAGGAGTAGGACTGCCTACATTTGCAAGTTTTGTGTAATTCCACTTCACAGAGGGGAATGTTTCTAGAAATATCACACCCTCAAGCATTTCTAGAAGCACTGGTAAGTGTTCTAAAAAATTTTAGTTCATAAAATTAATTAGGATATTTTATATTAATTTTTAAAGTGAACAGTGCACAAGTTAGGGTAGTAGGTATAAAAATGCCGGTCCGCAGGGTGATTTAAATATTTAAATTGCCGGTCCGCAAAGTGTTAACACAAAAATGAATTATATCCAATAGACGCTCGGCCTAAATGCGCTGTTCAGATTGTAGCAAGTGTAACAGCACCATGTCCATGAGGTCTGTCCATTAAATGGCATGAAAGGGTTAACAGTTACTTCCTGTGTAGTTAGTACATAAGAACTGTAGCTTAATGAAAACTGATAATCCTAATATATTCTTGGGAAATATATTACAGTGATCTGTTACAAAAATTATTGTTAGTTATGTTAGGTATGTAATTTATTTATTTGCCGCTGCTTGAATTTATTTGTCATTTGATAAACATGATTAAATTCCTCTAAATTCAAAAAGAAGTTACAGTGTTCTGTGACAGTAACTTAATCTTGAATGAAATTCTCTTTTAATGCTAACAATTGTGTTCAAGCATGAAAAGCTGTTGTCCTATTCAGATCAACCAGTGAAACATATGAACATAATTAGAAATAGTAATCCTCATTCCCCTTCCTCTAATCACACCTAGTTGTCCTATTACTGGGCTTACAAACTAGATTCTTTTCTTCTTTACAGAAGTCTTCGTAAGCATCTTTCTCAGTGTTATGTTTTATAATGTTTAGCCTGTGTTCTATTTTAGACTTTAGTACTTTCATGTTGGTGAAATTTTGATATTAGATAATGGCACTTGTCTGCATCAAATGCAGTAATACCACCATAACTCAGTCCTCAAAGCCTCGTTTGTAATAACAGAGTGTACCAGATGAAGGTGAAGTTGACATATAAGGTAGAAGAGGCTGTTACTATGTATCTTGTGATTTAAACGTTTTAGTTTAGGAAACCACACTGAAATGTTTTGATACACAGAGCAATGTAAATGAACCCTTTTACAGCATGTGTGAACATGGTTTTATGCGAAGAGTAACTATGCTGTAGGATGTTATACCATATAGTCTGGTAACATCTCGCTCATCATGGTCATGCCATAAGAACTTCAAATCTCACAACTTTATGCATGTTATTTGCACACCACATCCTTTGGTTTCCTTTCTTACAAACAATAAAGATTGCAGAAAACAATAGAATATATGCACACTGGGAAGACTGGACTGACTTTGGTAATGATATAAATTCGCGATGAAGGAAAGTAGTGTAATATTTTAATTCAAGTCTTTATACTACAATATAGAATATTTAAGTGTAATTAAATAGACTGAAATTGGTTACCATATATGAACCAAAGAAATTTAGTTTCTGTAAATACTGCTCATAACATGACTTATAGGCATGGTTTAAATTATGTTATTTTTCATCTGATGAAAATAAAATTATTATTTTAAGTGTCTAAAATTTTTGTAGTACCACTTTTTTTGGAACCTCCTCAAGTGTTTCCTTA